CATGAATTAGTAGGTCAGGTGTTATCCTCTTCTTCTAAAATGCTGGACGGAAGTACTTTAGGTTAAATTTGAATATAAGAAGGCAGGTTAGATAAAAATACTTGTCGAGTAATATTTAAGAAAATCAGGGATTTAGTACTTTTATAACTTTGACTTTGATGCTTAAGCTTTTAGAAAATTTAAAATTGAGATAAATTTTTCCCATGATAAAGAAATATTTATATTTTATTTTATTTAAGACACATTTCATGGATGAAAGTAATTTCTGAAGATTTCATCTTAAAAAAGTGTCTGGTTATTATCAATTAACTTTGTTGACCTTTAAAAAGGTCAGAAAATATACAAATAAAGAAATCAGGAAAAACACAAATATTCTATAACATTTATTTAAGGAAAAATAAAATTGTTTTGAAATATTTGCACAAATGGCGAAGGTTAAAATTGGTTGATTTAGAAATTAACAAAAGGAATTAATGATGGATATTAGATGGTGAGAGATGGAGTTGTGAATATGAGTGTTCGTAACTGACTGCCGGTTGAAGCGGGGATCTAAGGTGAGCGGGGATTTGACACATGTGGTGTGCTTGCTTCCTGTGTACACAAACATTGAGAATAACGTCGGCATTTGAGTCGGAAAAATCGTCTTCCTTATATTTCGAATTTATTTTAACAAACTTATATAAATACTTAACTTTTAGTAAAAAAACAGACATAGGTTTGTAGGTGTAGGTATCTTAAGGGCTGTGCCAGTATGCATGAGCAGAAAGAACCAAAGCAAAAGTAATTAACAGACAATTTCCTTAAATTTTTGTAATGTAAATAGTTTTTCTAATTTAATATCACAAAATTTTCACTAAACCAAAGTTCTGATTGTACAAGGAAAACAAATGCACTGGAAAGTCATTAGAATTTATCCACTAGATACTGCAACTCAATTATAAGTCATTTTTCTGGATGTCAGCTTTCAACTAAAATCATCATGGAAAACTGAATGCATTTCAGAAAATTCTTTATAATTCTACTCAAGATTGGCTAACTTTGAATGTCAGAAAAAGTCATAGCCAAATTGCATCAATTGGTTGAATTTCAATTTTAATCGCTTGACAGTGGAGAACAATTAAATATTTTATCATATTTGTTTTTAATTATTTACTTTGAACACAGTAATGATACCTTAAAATTTGGGCCTTCTAATGCAAAAGCGATGGAAATTTTTTAAGCATTGCAGAAAATTTGCTAACCAACTGGATAAATAGATAAAAAATTGATCACTTAATAGACATTTCTGTCATGTTCATTTAACTTCAGATTAAATACTAACATTAGTTAGGTTGGCACTTTTAATCTTGCAGTGCACTTAACTGATACAGAGCACTTTGACTCAGGAGGAAAGAATCGGCATTACTGATTGGATTGAAATGCTTCCTGTTCCTGGGGACTGGAGGCAGGTAGACCTGAGTTCATTCTCAATCTGCTTCTGGATGTACAATAAATTCTATGGTCAAAGTGGCAGGTTCTTAGAATTTTTTCAATTGATGAATGTTAATATTTGATTTTGATTTAAGCTGATGATATTTTTTTCAGTCAAATTTGGTCTTTTCAAACAGTTTCAAGAAAAACTGGAGGTTTTTATACCACTGGAATGTTCCTTGTACCGGATGTAAAAGGTGGAAAGAGTGGAGAGAACATTGAACTGTATGCTGATGAATACAGTGAAAAAAATTTCTTTGAGATAAAAATAGCAAGGTTAATTCTTCCTTGCCTATTCAATTTTTTTTTCATATTTTGTTAAGTCTTGATCAGAACCTTTTAAACCAATACCTGTCCCATTTCAGATTGTTACCGCATCGAAAATGGGTTCATACCTGCTGGATTAACAATGGGGGACTGAGTGAGGTTTATCTAAATGGTAAATTAGAAACCACCCAATCCTCACCCTCCTCCATTCAAAGACTTATAAGATCAGGTCTTGACAATGCCAACTTTTCTTTAATGATTGGCCAGGAACCAGATGCCCTGAACTCTGATTATGACCGTTCACAGTCACTAAGGGGTAGGGTTTTGGAATTTAACATCTGGAACATTTCTTTGAGTGAAGACATTATTCTTGGTCTTTCAAATTGTTCTATGATAAAGAAGGGAAATATTGTGGCATGGGAAAAATCTAGGATGAAAATTTATGGTACTGACTTTCAGGAAACTTCATATCCCACTCTGTGTCAAAAATTTGAAAAACTTGTATTGGTAAGTAAGAAAATGTCATATGAAGTCTCTAGAGAATACTGTCAGATCCATGGTGGGAAACTCTATGTACCTGAGTCAGATCAAGCCAACTCTGCTATGCTAGACCTTATAAACTTGAATACAGAAAAATGTTCAAGTGCCATGTGGCTGAATTTTGATTTTTGGGAGGATGAATCTGATCAAAATATTGTGGTTGATAAATATTCCAATTTCAAAAAGAAAACAGCTTTTGGGAAGTGCAGCATGATGAAATCAGATGGTTCATGGATGAGTCGTTCTTTTGAAGATTGCATAAATTTACATTTATGCTTTCTTTGTAGTTTTAAGGAAGAACCAATATTTACATTGAAAGGACTTTGTGAAAGAAGCAGATACAACTTTGTCTATTACCTAGAAGTAACAAATGAGGGTTTAGAATATGCTGGTTCTAGTGGAGGGCACATAAAACAAAATGGGTCTAAATGGCTTATACAGGATTGGCAAGGGGGTGTAAGTTTGATAAGTGCTGATCATACATTTGATGCTTTGGGTAGAATGAATTGGACAGGAACTGATTATTCCTGTGGTAAGTCTGATAAGGATATAGTTCTTACACTTTCTGTTTGTAATATGGATGATCAGTATACATGCAGATCTGGGCAGTGCTTGGATAAGTCAAAACTTTGCAATCATTTAATTGATTGCACAGATCAATCAGATGAAGATAATTGCGATAAAATAATTCCATCTGCCAACTCATCTCCAAAGGAAATTCCTAATCCAAATGGAAACCAAACCTTGTTGTTGACAAAAATAAGAATAGAACAATTTGATGAAATAAACACTTTACACTCTACACTGACACTGACTTTAGATATTACTATAAATTGGACAGATCCATCCATCATATTGGCCAACTCTCCTGAATTTAACGGAAATCCAATAGAAATTGTAGGTAAGCTCTTTTTCTCATTTAAATTAAAAAGTTGGTTTATAAGGGTTTTAATCTTTTTGGAATCAATGATATGTGGAAAATGACTCACGGAACCACTTAAACCTATAAAGGCTGGGGGTCTGAATATATGTATAGAGTGGGAGGGGGGGCTCCCATAGAAAAAGGTCTTAGAGAATAGGTATATGGTTGAAATCCATGTTCAAAGCCTAATTTTTCAAGGCCAGCTCATTGAAAATAAAATTAGATCCATAACTTTTATAGTTTGGGTGCTAGGGAGGGTTAAAAAAATGCTAAAAAAAATTTTAAAAAATCAAAGCATGACACATGTTTTTACAACCATTTTTCAAGGGGTTTTCAAGAACATAGATTTTAGATCTGTAGCTTTAGTCATAGAAAAGTTATGGGCTATTTTAGATTTTTTTTTCACAGACCGGACATTTACTGCCCTGTAGCCTACCCTATGCATAATTATGAAGAAAAACTTTATCATTTCCTTTTAATCCTTTCAATTTCTATTTATTAAAAGTCTGTTTGGGGTTAAAGGAATGCAAAATTGAAGAAATTCTTTGCCAAGATAAAAAAATGTTTCCCCAAAAAGGCTTCAAGCTAGGCATACACTTTCATTTTTTTCTGTAGCTTCTCTGGTTGGTGCATGCAAGAAAGATAAAGTAGGCATGACAACATCTGCTCTATTTCCATTTGCTCTATGGCCATTTGCTCTAGTTCCATTTGCTCTATTAACCATTTACTATATAGCTCATAGATTACGATGTTTGCTCTATATGTCATCTGCTCTTTACATCCATTGATCTATGAATTTACACATCATTTGCTCTATAAACATTTTTATGACTGTATTGGTCCTATTGCTATACTCAACATTTGCTCTATGAGTAAACACGTCATTTGCTCTATAAACATAATTTACAAATATCTAATCATATTAAAACTATATTTCTATGTCTAAGATACATAAAACATGTTATTGCTACCTAGAAGAACCAGGAGCAAGAGGATCTACAGCAGTTACCCTAGCATCATGAACTTTTTAATGCACCAGACCTTCTTCTCTTTAGAAAACCATCACATATGCATCATAGATGCATTAGGTTTTTTTTACCCCTCTTATTATTGAGCAGTTGCACTGTCATGATGAACTTTGAAGAACTGATTAAAACTGCAAGTTTTAATAATTTGCGAATTTTCCAAAAAAAAATTCCCGCATATCGAACTCAAATAAAATCTATCTTATAGCATATTTTTAGGTTATAAAGCAAATGATGTGTTCAGTCATAGAGCAAATGAGGTATAGAGCATGTGGAATATAGAGCAAATGACATACAGAGCAAATGACTTAATAGAGCAAATGGAACTAGAGCAAATGGCCATAGCGCAAATGGAAAAAGCGCAGATGTCGTAGTGTTGCTAAAGTATTCATAAGTCCTTATCAGATTTCTTGTTTTAGATGATTCTAAGCATAAAATTTGGATTCCGAAACAAGTTCTCTTTCCCAATGGAATTCTTGGAAAGACACTAGGAAATCCTGAATTTGATCTCCAGGCAATTCCTCTGTCCTCTCCTAAATCTCCAACAATTGTAAATGCTGTGGAATCCACTAAATATATTGGAAGCAATGTGATGCTAACCCTTATCAGGAGATATCAGGTAGTAATGATAATATTGTCTGATTAATTAATTTAAAGCTTATTAGGCCTTCATGGTGCTATCTAACTAACATAAAGGAAAATTATATATTTCAGGGAGAGTTTTACTGTCAAATGGATTTCTTTAAATTTCCATTTGATGAGCAAATTTGTGATGTCCAAGTATCCATGAGGTAGATCAATTTCGTTAAATGTGTTAATTGTTAAACCAGCAACTAATGAGTTGTTAAATTGATAAAATTTTCATTTCAGTCTTGGACCTAACAAGAACTTAATCTTTATTCCTGGAAATGAGATCCCAGTTGTACAGTACAACAGAAGCAATCTCTTGAGGGAGTTCCGTATTGCAGACATTAGGTTTAACCAAATATATATAAACTAAGAAACTATTTGTCATTGGTTTCAAATATTACAAAGTTCCAACTGGACTTTCAGTGTACAGATAAGAAATGAAAACACACATAAAACTTAAAACTGCAAAATTTACTCTGAAAGTTGAAATGTGATGCAAAACACAGTTTTACTGAATGTATACATTTTATATTCTCTTTTGCCCCTTCTATTGTACTTGATAATCTATTTTGGTTTTCTTTTGTTTTGATTTTTCTTTGATACTGTTTCTAATGCAATATGAACATTGAACACTTATTAAAATTGTAACTTTTTAAAGTTAAAAATATATCAGGCTTTTTATTACAGTTGGAGAAACTATTCTAATAGTAAGGAGAGCACCATTGAAATCACTATTAGACTGAATAGACTTTACACTCCATTCCTGATTTCCATCTTCATGCAAACCTTTCTTCTCTGGTTCCTCGCTTTCCTCACTATTCTTATCAAGGTTAATATAAGTATGGTTCTTTAGCGACTGCTAAATAAAAGACAAAAGTCTATAAACAACTAACTATATTTTTCATATATCGAAACAAAGAAACAATGATAAATAATATGGCGACTGTTTATGTATATCACATCGAGTTTTGATCAGGTAACTACTTGCAGACATTACGGCGGAAAGTTGGACGACTTGTCTGCCACAGTTCATACACCATTGTTGATTTCCATCTTCATGCAAACCTTTTTTCTCTTGTTCCTGGCTTTCCTTACTATTCTTATCAAGGTTAATATAAATATGGTTTATACACCATTCCTTATTTCCATCTTCATGCAAACCTTTCTTCTCCAGTATCTGGCTTTCCTCACTATTCTTATCAAGGTTAATATAAGACTTTATACAACCATATCTGATTTCCATCTTAACACAAACTTTTCTTCTCTGGTACCTGGCTTTCCTCACTATTCTTATTAAGGTTAAACCTTTATTACACTTCATCAAATTGAATTTTTAAGTTCACAAAAAGTATGAATTATATTTGAAATTTCTAGTTAACTGTTCAATATGAACAAGTTTTAAATGAAACAAACCTACCTCTAAAATCCTTAAAATTTGATCTTTTTTTGTCTTTAGCTTAAACTTTCAAATTATTAGGTTTTTCATTATTTCATAGTTTATCATAAACCTATAATTGTATAATGAATGGTTTAAACTATAAATTAAGATTGGCTATCATAACATAAATTTCCCTATAATGAGATGGTTCTATTGTCCTACTGTCCTGTTTTGCCTTATATAGTTAGTGTACTGTATATTTGCTCCAGGTTCTTGAAAGTCAGACCAATACTTGATATAAACTGAGATTACAGTGTTATTTTTTCAGTTGGAGAATTTTAGTGATAGATTCATGGGATCATTGACAGCTCTTCTTGTTCTAGTCTCTATAATGGCTTCTATAAAGGTACACTATTGATTTTTAAAACATTTGTTCAATATGAGTTTTGTTTTTGAACTTAAATTCATTTTAAAAGAAATACTAATGATATCAAAGAAAATCCTTATTTTCCATATTATAATGTTCTGCTTTCCCTTCAACCTCCCTTTGGTCATTGTCCGTCATTTCTCCATAGCAATCATTAAGACTATGGTACCCTTTGAACCTCTATCTTAATATAAAAACAATGCTTATATTCATGCAGAATTATGCTATTGATTCTTGTAGAATTGTCCCATTATAAATTGAGGTTCACTTGAAATTTTAAATTATTAAAACAATAACCCTTAAAGGTTATTTATGATGCAACTTATTTCAGAATAATATTCCTCATACCGCTGACTTGATGATGATTGACTATTGGTTTGGTTGGCTTATTCTCAGGAATAATCATGTTCATAAACCATAAAAACCTGAACATTTCTTATGGAGGTTTTTCTAAAAAAAAAAAAATATGTTACAATTTTCTTAAACATGATTTGTATCTAGTACTTTCTTTATCATCATCTACCATGTTCTATTTGAACAGTTTGTTTTCAAGGTAAGTAATAACAGCAATACATCCAAAATACCATCCAAAAGAACATCCAAAAGACCAACCAAAAGTTGTTTTATACATTAAAGCCTTTAAAATAGTTTTAATTTGTTTTCATTGTGTGTGTTTTTAGGATAAGAAGAATAAAGAGAAAATCAACGATGCTGTAAAATATGTTTTCTTTATTGCTACTTTTGTTTTTGTAGTTGTCTTCTTTTATATGTCATTTTAAAAAACACGCACCTACTTAAGTAATAATGTTAATTTTCAGTATATGCTTTTTTGATTTTTTTTAATTAGAAAATGACAACAATAATAATTTTCACAGATTTTCATTTAGACAATGAATTTAGGGTTTCCACCAGAAACAACCTTTGGCACATTTTAGGCAAAGCAATTGAATTTTCGCCACAAACTCTTAAATTCTAATTCTTATTTCTCTGCAGCCTGATGTCATAAACCTTAAATATTTCAAACTATGCATATCAATTCTGTGAGATTAAATATACTAATTTACACCTTTAGGTTGAAAAGATATAGGGATTAAAAGTTTGTGGGAAACATTCAATCCCTTTGATTGCAAATTCTGCAGTTTTGTTTGAACATGAATTTTGCGGGCAGCAGAAGCAAGTGAAAACAATCCCTCAAATAAATTGCGGAAAGTTTGCGCTGAAAAATTGCGTAAAAAGTGGTCGAAAAATATTTGACATTGTAGTGCAACTCTCTGCTATAGTTTTGGGATGCAAATAATGGCCTTGCATGAGTGTGACATTTTATTTGTAATTTAATATTTGACACGCAATTTTTGAGAGAAATTTGTACACATATTTTCTTCGCAATTATATGTGTAATTTGCGTCAAAATCAATATTTATTGTTTGTAATCAATCCTTGCTAGGTAAGGTCCTAAATACAGAAAATATATAAGCTATCTAGCTGGTACAGTTTTATTGATGATGATGCATTACTTTCATTATAGCCTGCAATGTATCATATAAAAATATAACATTAAAATCCAAAAAAAACTTGAAAGTGAAATATATGTTTTAAAAAAAATTGACTTTTAATTATTTACAAATTCATATACATATATGCAAATTGTTAGACCCATGAAACAGAAATATATATTTTAACATCTAAAATGTATATTTAAACTGAAAAAAAGTAGAAAATACTAAGTGGATTGTACCAACTGATTTCAAAAAGAAAATTTAAAAAAAAATTATTTTTGTGGTCTGGGCAAGGTTCGTACGGAGGTACCCGTAGCTCTCTTTTCGTTTTTTTTCAATGCATATTTTTTTCTTTAGATTGCTCTAGCTCCAAAAGTAATAATCGCTGATCCAAAGTTTTAGTTAAAAATGAAACCTAAGACTAACAGCTTATGATTTTTAAACAAAATTTCGAAAATCTTTAAACTTTTCCATACTTTCTGAACGAATGAAAATGAGACGTGAAAAATCGAGAAATTGAAAAATCCGGGAAATCGATTTTCGGCTTACGCTCAAATAATTGGTTGTAACAAAAAAAATATGAGGCCTAGAAAGAAAAATTTCACACCATGAAATAACTGAAATATAGAGCTTTCGAATGACAACTTGATCGTAAAAATTGAACGAAAATTGTTTCCTCAGTTACTAATACCCCTACTGCACATTTTTTTTGAGACACCCTGTATATATATTAGATATCTAAATTTTCAGGTTATAGTTGGCTAAAAGGCTGAACCAAATTGGCTGAACTTTTTCAGGCAACACCTGATTAGCTAGCTAGTATTTATTAAAACTAGATAAAAACTGAAAAAGAGGGGGGGGGGCGCCATTTCTTTAACATTTTTATATTATACCAATCTTCTGATTTTTTTTGTTTGGACATGATTTCTTCTTATCTGCTATAATTTAAAAGTAAATTGATTTAACACTTAATTATTTACAAGTTTTTGAAATTCAAAGGAACCCAATTTTCCCTACAAAACATCCAAAGCTCGGGATGTTTTGTAAGAAAAATAGAATTAAACACCAGGTATGCGTGAAAGAGAAAATTTGGAAAAAAACATAGAAAATCTTCTCTTGCAAAATTTTGTATAAGATTTTTAAAATGGTCTCATTTTTGAAAATCCGAATACGAACGAGTCTGTAAATCTTTATTCCTCTTTTTATTAGACACCTTGTAGTTCTACACCATTATTTTGTCGTTTGAGATGAAATTTTGCGTTTTTTTCATATTTTACTCGGGTTGGATTGGGTCTGTTGGTGTAAATATATTATTAACTTTTCATACCAAAAATAGGGAGGGATAGATGATAGAAAAAAGACAACATATTAGCTCTTTTGTATATAGCTATAGGTCAGACAAAAAGTGGGGCTGTAACCAAAATGGAGTCAGTATATGCAAAGAGTCCAAGACGAAAGATTAACTTGGTGTAGAGCCCGTGAGAGCTCTGGCTTTCCATGATTTATTAGTATCATTTTATTTGTTAAAGTTTTACTCTTGTAAATACATTTTATCCCATACTCTATAGAGTTACTCACATCAGTTTTCAGGCTTTAGATTTCCTTTATTTCACACCATCTTTATATGGTAACAATAAGCCTTTTTACCCGAACACTTAGATTTCAACCAAATTTTTTTTTTCAGTTTTAAGGCAAAGGAATTGAGTTTTTGTCACAAACTAAAAATTTTAAATCCCCTATATCTTTGGAACCTGATGGAGTAAACCTTTGATATTTCAAACTTAGATTATTTGATCTCACAGTATACTTAGTTTGAAATATATTGGGTCTAAGACATTGGGTTTCAAAGATATAGGGATTGGAAAATCAGAGTTTGTGGCAAAGACTCAATTCCTTTCTTGAATTTGTGAGATATCACGCTAAGATAAAGTTTTTTTCCCCCTGTTTGTGTAAAGCCAAGCAAGCAATGAACAAAAAAACTTTTGTGATAATAACTTTTTTGCATAGAATTGGCTTGAAGTGTTACCACTGATGTATGGTCAATGTATGCACAATGCACAATACATAAAATGTCAAAAAATATTTTGAGCGGTTTCAAAATCAATTAATAAAGTAAGCCGCAATGCATTCCTTTACCTTTTTAAGGTCAAAACACTTAAGCTTCAACTTTTGGTTTTTCACCTATTAGTCAAGGACTTGAGTCTGTTCCACAAACTAAATTTGTTTCCATCAACTTATCTTTGCAACCTGGTGGTTTAAACCTATAAAATTTTAAACTACTGTCTACGACAATGAGTTGCAAAGATATTGGAATTGCAAAATCGGAGATGTGGAAAAAATTTAAATTCTACTAATGTAATCAATGTATTTCATATTTACAAAAATTTCACACTATTTTGCAAAAAGAAACTGCTCTATGATTAGTAAAATAAAGTAAAAAATATGTCTTGCCCAAAAACTTTCGTTAAATTTTGGATTAGCAAATTAACAGTACCTCGCCCTAACCAGACTAACATACGACAGGGGTCAATTTTCTTGGCATAGTCCCGTCAGAGGGCTAACCATGACAACTCCCATGGCGCGTTCAGACTTTTTACATTACCCGGCCTAATCCTAGGCCTATTTGACCGACCCTACTAGATTAGTCCACCGTTTTTATAGCATGACGAATGAAAAAAAATATGCCATAGCATCCTAGCAATCAGTTAAATGGGTAAAAAAGAATTTTACAAAAAATATTTTTAAAATCAAAAGAAATAATCATAAATATCAAAAAGATGTATACAACATAAAGAGTATATAGCATGAAGGATAAACAAGAAAATATGCCATAAGCATTCTAGTAATCAGTTGAATGGGTAAAACAGAATTTTACAAAAAATGTTTTTAAAAAATTAAAAGAAATAATCATAAATATCAAAAAAGTATACAGCATAAAGAGTATATAGCATGAAGGATGTACAAAAAATATGACATAAGCATCCTAATAATCGGTTAAATGGGTAAAAAAGAAATTTACAAAAAATGTTTTAAAAACAAAAGAATTGATCATAAATATAAAAAAATGTATACAGCATAAAGAGTATATAGCATGAAGGATGAACAAAAAATATGCCATAAGCATCCTAGTAATCAGTTAAATGGGTAAAAAAAGAATTTTACAAAAAATGTTTTTAAAAACAAAAGAAATAATCATAAATATCAAAAAAAGATACAGAATTAAGAGTATATAGCATGGATATATAATATATAATATAAAATATAATATATAAAAAAGAATTTTACAAAAAATGTTTTTGAAATCAAAAGAAATAATCATAAATATCAATCATTGGTTGTGTCAGCGCAAATAAAACTTATTACAGATACAGGGTTACCCACAAAGAATGAGACTTGAAACTCATATATAATGCCGTTCTCAAGCACGGGCGGCCGTAGTACATTTGAATTTCCGAGCCGAGTCAACCTTTCCGGTCCCAGTTTGTACTGTATCGCCCGGACATTGGGTAAATAAAGCAGACACTTAATAGGACTAGCCGGTACAACAAGATTGACGCGGTCAGACATTAGGTTGAATTTACTATTACTTAAGGGTCAGGGGTGCGTGCAAGGTTAAACAAAGTCTTTTGCTTTAAATTTAGTCTTTTAATGGCTTTTTTAATAATTTGAAAAAGAAAAAAATTTCCAGTTGAATTGAATCGTCAATATTAAGAAAACAGTCTATATAAATTTTGTACAGTCCTTTCTGAAGTCCCATCCTATGTGGGTAAATCTGTGTATGTAATCAAAATTAGGAAATTGTTGAATTATCTTTAATTAGGAAATACCTGAATTATAGTGACCCAGGGGCGGATACAGGGGGGTGGCGGGGGACATTCGCCACCCCCTGACAGATTTCGG